GTCGTTAATTATATCCACCTTGTTGAACTGACATGCCCCGAAAGCCTCCATCTAAAATAAATACATCACCTTTTCTAAAATATTGTCTTAAAGGATAAGACGCTTTGCTAAATTGGTCTGTTAAAGTATCTGCATCTGTTTTTGTGGCAGAATGCGGGTCTAGTACGACGATTATGTGGCCATCGCAACTTACTATTAAGAATTGTTTGACAACATTTCTATATTTATGAAGCGAAAAAGTCTTCTTATGATATCAGTAGTTGCTGCTTTTTTGCATATAATATATGTTCCATCCATTATTACAATGGCTGTTCTTTACTCAACGTTGCTTCCAGGGTTTCCGAACATTGAGTTTGGAATGTATAAAGTACTATCTGCAACTCCTTCCCTTGAAATGTGCTCCAAGCACAGAAGTTGTGGCACAAGGTGTGCCACCATTACATTTCTGGCTTACATTATGTATTTGGTCAGTGTGCTTCTGCTTATATTTAATAACGTCGAAATCCTCTCATAGGAGTCTCCTGGTCGAAGTTTCAATAAATAAGCTCCTAAGTGCAATGGTACGCTTATGAAAATCAGGCCATTCGGCTTCTAACTGTCTAAATTGTTCTTTTGTGCGTCTCAGCCAATACCCCACCACATTGTCTTCCATTAGGTCAATGTTCTCAAAATCTAGAGTGTTTTTGTTATTTCTGAGTAGCTCATACGCTTATGAAAATCAGGGCATTCGGCTTCTAACTCTCTAAATTGTTTTTTTGTGCGTCTCAGCCAATACCCCACCACATTGTCTTCCATTAGGTCAATGTTCTCAAAATCTAGAGTGTTTTTGTCGTTTCTGAGCAGCTCATAAAAATCCTCTACATGAGCAGCTTTAAACCTATGCAGGGTATTTTCAACCTAATATAAAAGTAACCACAATTGGCTCTGTAGATGAATACTGCACATCCTACAATTTGGTGGTGAATAATATTTGTGGTTACTAAAGGGTCTCACCCCGAAATTAACCTAAATGGAACCGATTGCTGTGAGGTACTGTGGCAAGCTCGAAATAAGCACCGAGAATGAGTATCAGGTGCCCTTGAATAGTTTGGTAAATTATTTCTTTTAGCTCCTTGTGGAACTTGCTTACTTGCTGTAACTGCATCTGCATGAACAGCTGCTTCGGCTCTTAGGAAACATCTGTGACAAATCACATCTGACGGTTGAATTTAAAAAAAATATCATTGTTACACACTGATATTACACAGAAATTCAATTGGATTGCATAATTATATTTATATGAACCTACTGGATCTTACCTCTCTTGGGTGAATCTAGTTTCGCACAACATTTAAGATGTGCCGGTTCTGCTTGCTTTGTACAATGGCGTGTCGCAGTTGTGCCACAGAGTGAGCACATTTCATGCACACATTTTGATGACCTAAAAATATTGCAGAATCTTCTCAAGACCGTTTGTGTATTATTATTAAATATTGTGTGGTAGGCATCACATATATAGTCAGTGGCGCTCACCAGTTATATAATTCATTATTTAGTCTTTTTTGAGTGAGAGGAAGCATTACTTTATTTTATAATATGTACTAATAAATTAGAGGACATCAACATAAAATACTAGACATTGTTGTATTTTGTGACAGGAATGTATGATTATTAAAAAGGTGTCGCCACAATCTCGTTAAATCAATGCGCCCATTTGCACATCTTTGTTGGTGTTGAACACGCTTGGCAGCACTTGTCAAGGATGACAAATGTAATGTGACGCACGAACCTGAAATTAATACACCATTTTACACAAATATTTACTAAACACAATTGGTGCAGTGGTTGAGTGATTGGCTGTTGCTTTAATAGATGTAGATTTTATTCCTGCATGGTATAAATTTTTCTATACACTGAAGATAATTCTCCAGACTAGGTGTATATGCTTGTATGATCATCTGTTTAAAATTTCACCTACGAAAGAAAAACTAGGCTGAAGCCTAGCCTGAAGTCTAGAATTCAAATGATTTATTATAATTAGTTCAATATGAAAGATAGATTGAGAATTAGATGTACGTGTTGCGTTATCTACAAAATGAAGAGCGCGGCACACATTTTATTTCCTATTGCGTGAAAGTAATTATCCATAAATATGGGTCTTCAATAGAAATTATAGTGGTGGAGCCACGCGGCAGCTTTTACTGTCGCACGGATGGGCCGGCTCGAACCGGGGTGGTACCACGACCTCACAGAATTCCAGCGTGAAGTAGAGGTTTACCTCTGCGTTTCGCTTGGTGAGTGCAGATGGCCGGAGGCCCTTTTTACTGGAAATGAGGCATTCCATCTTAGTCCTCACGGGTGACAACGCATCTGCATTTTGATTCGCAAACGAGGATAGATGTAGATGTCTATGGGTCGCAGCAACCACTTACCATTAGGTGGACTGTGTGCTCGTTTGTCACCCTTATCCTATAAAAAAAAAATTCCCTTAAGCAAGATTTTGTGACGGGCACACGGATATTCCCCAATATCATCCAAAAACAAAACAGGATAAATATCTCATGTGCATTTGTTTCGTACCAATCTAGTACGAAAGGTTCACTGATACGAGCCCGTTCTACAGCGTACCGGTTCGTTTCTGCCGCCATGTAAGAAATGATGCTATCGTCCCAATATAGGCCGAATACCACAACGCACTTCTGGACGGCGTTGTTGATCCAGTTCTAAAAGAAACTTATGTCTTTCATCTTGAAAGGAGCCCATGGGGTGCCAATCAAAGTGAAGAAAAGTCGCATCTCCCATCAGTCCAATGTCATCCGCCTTATGATCATTATCTACTTCCATCCTTCTTCTCTCGGCCTTCCTCTGCCGAGCTTCCCTATTAGCCACCAGTGTCATAATCCTATCTCGAAAATCTTTAGGCACATCATCTTCTGTCACACATACTTGTACAAAACGGTCGTCGCGCCGCCACAATGAGAAAACGGGGGCGCGATTACTCCGGACGCGGCGAGCGCCTAGTGCCCGGCGCCGGCCTGCTGCTGCCACTGCTGCTTCTCGCGCACCTCTCACAGCACCACCACTCGGACTCGCCACCACCTCCTCGTGAAAATGTTCGTGCTTGTCCGCGAACAAGCACTCGTGGCCGTTCTCCTCATTCAACCGCTCAACGACAACGGCCACTTTCTCTGGTTGAACATTTCCTCTGCAAGACGTACGAGTGTATAAAATTTATATAATACAATTCAGTTCATACGTATTATACACCAGGCTCTCACAAATTAAAATCGTTATACCTCCAATATTATTAAAATGCAATGTAAACTTGTGAGAGCAAATAAAGTAAACATTATTATTATTTATGGGGTATCTATAAAGTTTTCTCATCTCGTTGGGCAGTATAAATATATAATTGTAAATGAAAATGGTAAACATACATAAATATGAATAAAATAAATACATAAAAAATACATAAATATATAAAAACCCAACCAGATGGAAGCCCTCGGCAGGGGAGACCAGACGGCCGAGGGTTAGGGAGAAAGGGAAAGAAACCGGCGGACGATGCGGGCGGTATCGAGGAGCACCGCCTTCTGCATTTGAGCCTGGAGCGGTCCGCCACGGAGTCCCAGTCGCCTCAGATGACCCGGGAGGCTGACTGGGATTAACCCGTTCGCAGAAACGACCACAGGAATAATTTCGGTCGGCAGACCACCCCACATGCCGGTAACCTCGTGAGCCAGGTCCAGATATTTTGTCACCTTATCTGTTTCGGCTTTCACGAGGTTCTCGTCATAAGGAATGGTAATGTCGACCAAAAAGATCCTTGACTGTGCCCGGTCCATCAGCACAATATCAGGCTTATTCGCAAGAATAGTCCTGTCCGTGATGATGGCCCGGTCCCAGTAGAGCCTGGCGCGGTCATTTTCGAGCACGGCTTCCGGCAAGTACTTATAATACGGCAGTTTCCGATCGACGAGGCCGTATTTCAGAGCGAGCTCCTGGTGTAGAATCCTGGCTACTAGATTGTGTCTGTGCAAATACTCAGAGTTAGAAAGCGCCGAACAACCGGAGATGACATGCCTAAGTGACTCACCGGGATGGCGACAAGCTCGACAGATGTCGACGGCGCCATCCTTTAGGATGTATCTTCGATAATTGTTGGTCTTAATAACCTGATCCTGTATTGCACAGACAAAACCCTCGGTTTCCCCAAAGAGGTCACCGAAACGTAGCCAATGAAGGGAGGCGACTGTGTCTACGAAAGGCTCATGTAGAGCCTTGTAGAACCTCCCGTGGAGCTCCTTCTCCTTCCATACGGTCTCCCGGTCGGAAATGCACTGTACTGTTGGGTCTTGCCATTGCTCGTTGGCTAAGGATAGAGGGGTCAGTCCTTTATCACAAGAAATAACGTCCCTATAGTATGGATCATCCGCTCTCGTCAGAAAGTAATTACGGAGGCTGCACACTTCGCGATTATGCATGGTAAGCGCGCTTAAAAAGCCGCGCCCGCCATGCTTCCGCGGCAAGTACAGCCTCATTACTGACGATCTCGGATGATGCATCCTGTGGGACGTCATTATAGTGCGGACTTTTCTGTCCAGAGCGTTTAGTTCGGTCTGAGTCCACCTAAGTATGCCAAAGGTATACATGAGAACAGGCATGACCCAACCGTTATATGCGTGCGTCTTATTCACACCGGACAAAAGGCTGTTAAGCACTTTGGTCAAGCGTGCATAAAACACATCGCAAACTGACTGTTTCATACCCGCCTCATCTACAGCGATGTTCTGTGACATACCCAGGTATCGGTATGTTTCAGCCTCGGAAAGGGTCCTTATGTTGATGGGCATAGATAAATCTATGCCCTCAGAGTTAGCAACCCTTCCCCTTTCAACATGGAGGACCGCACACTTATCCGTCCCCAGCTCCATTCTAATAGAATTGCTAAAATCACAAGTGATGTTTAGCAATTCCATAAGATGAGAGCGACTGGTGGCGAATAACTTGAGATCATCCATTTAGAAAAGGTGGGTCACTTTTGTACCTCCCCTCCGAAGCTGAAATCCCCTCCCGGAGCCCTCCAGTAAGGTACTGAGAAGGTTCAGAGAGAGGCAGAACCAGATTGGACTCAGACAATCGCCCTGGAAGATACCCCTTCTTATCCTTATGTGGTTCTCCGCAGCCGTCATCCGCTCGCCTAGATGACAAAGGATCGTACTCCACTGCCCCATACACTGCCCAAGGAAGTCTCTAACTGTACAGTCAATCTTGTACAGCTCGAGGACCCTCTCCAGCCATGTATGAGGCACCGAGTCGAATGCCTTTTTGTAGTCTATCCAGGCGGCGGAGAGGTTCCGACGGTTGCGTTTAACCACTTTGCCAATGACCGCGTCAATGAGGAGTGGTTCCTTGGTTCCACGACCACCGCCCCGACATCCATTTTGAGCGCGCGACATCACCTGATTTGAGTTCAGGTGACGAGTGATTCTCGCGCTCAAAATGGATGTTAGTGTCTTATATATCGTGGGTAGACACGTGATGGGGCGGTATTTGCTCGGGTCTATGGTATCCCGGTCTTTAGGAACCAAATGAGTGATCCCAGTAGTGAAGAGGCTCGGGAGCGACTTTTGGTCGAGAGCCTCTTGAAATTGTCGGGCGAGCACAGCGTGACACACCACGAACCCCTTCAGCCAGTAGTGATGCAGCCCGTCGAGTCCCGGACTTTTCCAGTTCGGGGCCCTTCGGACCGCCTCAGCTACATCGTCCGGCGTTATAATGACGGGGTCCATGGGCGTAAGATTCGCACACTGACTCACCACAACTTCCGTCCAAGGGCCCTCGCTGTGGTTTACGGGCTCTGACCACAGGCCGCGCCAGAATGCGACAGTGTCGGCCTGATTCGGTGCTTGGCCCGTTCCACGTACCATTTGTCGCTCCAATGATTTATATAGCCTCTTCTGATCACTCTGGAAGAGACGATTCTGGTTGAACCGTGTCGACCTCTCGGTATATCGCCGAATCCGCTTCCCCCAAGCAGCGATTCTCTGCTTCAGGTCGTCTATGCGCTCCGTCAGTTTTTGCGTTATATCCGGCTGGGACAAACTGATATTTGTCCCAGCAAACGCCATTCTGACGGTGCGCACAATTCGCGGCCTATTATTGCCCGACCTGAAGCTTATCAGCCTGCCGATGAGGGCCCTTGCCTTTACGATACGGTCCTCAATCCTTCTTCTCCAGGCTGGGATGGCGCTACTTTGTCTAGTAGCGCGTCCAGCCGTGGGCAGTTTGGCGCCAACAATACGGCAAACTGCCAGTGCGGCGCCAAAAAGAATTGAGTCCGTCTCGCAAAGGTCCCGGCTGGCTTCCAAATAGGTGACCAGCATTGGGTTGAGAGCCCTCACGACAGCCCGATTCCGCTTGCTTAGGGGTATGCGCGGGAGTCGCGGTCGATTTTCGAGAGGCGTACTGCGCGTTTCCACAATCGCCTCTTCCAATTTACTCCTCATCTTCTCTAGTTCTTGGGTGACCATTCCATCATCGCCTGAATCAACCAGAGCAGGGAGATCCATGGCGCCCTCTATATGTGGCTGCTGGTCTGTGGCCTGAAGAGCCGCATCCCCAGCTATTATTATTATTATTATTATTTACAGGAGTTGATTTTCATAGTTATTTCATAATTAATAGTAGTCATATCCATTTTATGGCAAATTGAGAAACGAGAACTTTGGTATGCCGTCATGTTGTACGCTGTTGTGACGCTTTGGATGGTAAATATAGATTACTATGGAGTTAAGGATTATTAAGAAATAACAGAAATAAAGTTAATGTTTCTATTTACAGAGAAAACAGGGATTAAAAACGGATTTCACTTGTTTTGTTCCAAAGGTGTGAATTTGACTAATTTTTTTATAAAGCTGTCAGGATTTGACCAATTGCGGCTTCTTGTGTGGATCAGGAGGTGGCGAACGTGCTGATCACCTTTTCTCGCACTCCGATATTCGACAGTTGCCACAGTTTACACAGTAGCTTTGGATTGATGGTTCTAATGGTCAATAGGTGTGTTTCAGGTTCTCCTTCCTGGTCTGCATCGGTGCTAAAATTAGCAGCCATATCTGTTACGATTCAACTTGGGAAGTCCCTCTTTCGGTTTGCGTCTAAACATATTTTCGGGCTGGGGAGGTAGATTGAGAAGGATACTGCCAGGATCTTTTATAAGCTGGAAGTGGTCAACTCTCTTTTTTTTGCTGTTGGCCAGCAACATGTATCGGAGGATCGGAAGAAAGGGTTTTTCATCAAGTGCCGCAGGACACTGAGGCCAAAACTCAAGGTGTCTTGTGAGGCTCGGGTAGCAAATTGGGGAAATAGTACTGTTGGGTACCCTCCTATAGAGCTGTTCATTATTAAGAGTGCAGCCATTCACTTGTCTGACATCCCTTGGTAGTCGGGGTGCTTCCTTCATAATGTTTGAGAAGCCTCGAAAATAGTCTGTTTGAGCAGCCTCGAAAATAGTCAGTACGTATGCTGGTATGGGTGAAATGTCATCTCCTGCTATTGAGGCTCCCCTGGAAAAAAGACCAACCGCAATAGTATTGATGGTATGTATGGCTTGATTTGCTTCACTTGTAAGTCTTGAGACCTTTTTCATAGCTCCACTCACTTGTACACCGTCCAAGAAATACTTCCGGCCATACTCCAGCAGCCAACGGAAACGCCACGACTCGGACACTTTATTACTATTCCCGCCTCCGTGCGCTTTCCTTTACAGAACTTGCAGAAATTGCTGTGTAACTATCGGGTGTGAGACTTCTGTCTGCTAAATACTGTATAGACGGAATCCTAAGCACAATCATATGGTTATCTCCTTGACCAAGAAGAGATGTTGTTGTGTCACATCGATAGGCAGCGATTAGAATAATCAGAATCTTCGCCAAGGTCCACCCCTTCTGCCTCAGACCCTCTAACCAGGCCTCGAGACCTTGCACACATCTGGCTCCTTCCACAGGGGCTCCAGTTGGATCCTGATCAGGAGGTGCGTACTTGTCTTGAAATAATAGGGTTGATAATAAAGGAAAGGTGTAGTTGAAACTATAAACATTTTTAAACCCGAACAATGCATCGCGATACTCGAGAACAGAGGATCCAGAATCTCTGCCCTGAAATGGGTGCACCACGAGGAAAGGTCAATCATAATGTTGACATAGTCATGCTCCTCACCTGTGCAACTCATACGGTTGAGGGTCTGAGTTAGTTGCTCTTCAGATAGCGTCATGGATTGGTGCTTGATATAGCGGAACAATGTCTCTAGAACGTTCTTTTCCGTAATGACCTGATAGGCCCTCATCTCTGGAGTTATTTTCCCATAACAACGAGCATCCACCTCCTTAAACACACGTTCTTTGGGAATCGCCACCATCACTCTTCAGTCGGATGGAATAACACCACTGTCTATAAAATTTATAATTTCCTTGCAGTCAAACACCTCCGTTGTCAAGTAGTGCATAACCACGCTTTTGGTGGTAGGAGGGGAATCTACCGTGGATGATGCGAAAATCCTTGCTATAGAATTCATGAATCCACTCTGGCAACTTTGGTATGAGCGCCTTATCTGATATTATGATGTCTATTAATAATAATCGAACTCGAAGTGTGTCATCCCTCTGAAATCTTCAGGGTTCCACCGATGAGATGTGGTTTCTCCCTATTCATTTGATAGGTAACACGATATGATATGGGGATGAACATCCCTTGTCATGGATAAGTTCGGCCAATTTTTTATGTATTTTGTAGAACTGTCTGCAAAATTCTTTTTTAAAGATATTATCAATTCCTATTGCAGCAGGCTGTAATCCTGTTTTCAGGACAGTGCCTTTCTTGCACCACGTAGCGGTCCTTGCATCTATGTTGACTATTGGATGGTCCACGGTCTTCCAAAGTCCCGCCATCTCTAGCTTCAGCATCGCATGGACCGGACTTGATGTAGTTCCTGTCTCTTGCTCATTGAATGGGGTGCACTTGACATGGTGATCTAAGTCAGCAGATGCCGTGTTGATGAACTCAGCAGATCCCTCAATGTCTCTCAGGATTGAACATGTTATTAGGGAAGGCTACATCTTCAGAACGGCATAAGCTCCTTGTTTGATGGGAAAGGAGGAGAGCGTGCATTCCATTGGATCGCCGCGGTGGCACTTATCTGATGAGGTGACACACCTGGCTCAGTGGCCTGACACAGCGGATAAATATTTTCATCAACCTTGGGCACAGATGACTCCATCTGGTTGTCCCAAAGCACCTATAACGACGCCGAAGGGTAGTTGTCCACAGACAGAAGGGGATCACACAAGGCAAAGATATATTTAAATTTAAATCTTATATATTTCACATATTTCTATACTAATGTATTCACTTAAATGATAAACTAAAATATAAATATCAATATTTATCAATTATTGCCTATAGATGGCTGGGGATGGATGGGATTTTCATTTGGAGACATTTCGTTGTGCGGATTGGACAATGCACACCCATTTGGAAGAGAAGATGGACAGTCTGCAACTATTCTTTCGTGGGCCTTTTGGTCTATCCCCATGGAAATTCTAGGGATAGGCCGGGTAGATTTAAAAATAGGTTTCCTATATGCCTTCGACATGGTGGGGAGGTTAAAAGAGGTAGTAGAAGTAGAAAGCTCAGAAGAGGCCACTGCAGAGTATGACTTTTAAAGATAGTTCAAACGTACAGACGAAACTTTGGCTGAAGCTTCCATATAAGATATATTTTGTTCTGACATCACTGATACATTTCTGTCGATGGTATTCCGGACAATTTTTTATATTAGCAAAATGGTTTTTGGAGCATAACAGACAAGTGGCTTCACTTTCAGAAACAGAACAGCTTGCTCCAGTATGCTCTTGGGCACATCGGTAGCAGCGTGGTTTGGAGCGGCATTGATCTGCTACATGACCAAATCGACAACAATCGAAAGCACTGGATGGTGGGGAGTTGATAAGTTTCAACGGCAAAAGATGTGAAAAATGCACATACATGTTTGGGGAGTATCTGACCTTCAAATGTCAGAACAAAAGATTGAGTGGGGACCCATATTGGGGATGATGACCATTTAGCAAAACTCTTTCTTTAAAGTCGGTGAGCTTTCAGGATTTTACCACAACCAGGGGGAAGCTCAATAGCTTCTGCTAGTTCTTCCATTGACCAATCCACAGGGACACCGCGGATGACATCCGTACGGGAAAAATTATAAGATGGAATGGATGCTATCAATTTTCCTTTTGCAAGCATTGGGTTATTAAGGAATTTGTTAGCCTCATCTTCTGAGCAGAATTTAATAGAGATGCAATTTCTGCCGACGCTTTTGGCTTTTTATTTTTGTTTTGAATATTATTTTTTGACAAAAATAAACCTATTTTAATTTGTATATATAATCCTATTCTAGGATCTGGAGTGGCACAGGAGATGTTGACATTAAATGGGCCTTCATGATTTGGCCAATACATTATAAAATTTTGCTCTAGGCTGGCATGATTATATATGTTATTTATTGAAGCTGTTAAATCAACTATAATTTTTTTTAAATATAATATTGGATCAAATGCTCGAGACTCAGCATGTCTTTTTTACAGTGGTTGCAATATTTATTGTCACTTAATACACGTGGCGCATGTCTTCATCAGGAGGATCAGGGGGTTTCTCACTGGGAGGTCCTGTTTTGTCACCCATAATTGGGTATATTATTAGATCTAACTATATATAATAAAAGTTAAGTCTACTTACAACA